TGCTATGGAAATGGTCCTAGAAAGTACAAAATAGGTCACAGAGATTTTGGGTGCTGCCTTCACCTCCCATGGGGCTCTCCATCCCCAGGCTGCTTGCTTACAGCCAGAGCTGGTCTGCATTAAGTGCTGCTATCCATCCCCTCCACCCTCAGGGACCCCTGTGTACCTCCCAGCCCTCCTCAGACCCCGACACACAGCAGTGTCCAGTGTATCTCCCACCAGGACCAGCCAGTCCCTTGCTATGGCATCCCTCGGGATGTGCAGACACTCTCTCCTCTCGCAAGGATGGAGAGAGAGCGCGCACCACCCACGGCTGCAGGCCGGGAAAGCCTGGGTCACCTGCACCGTTGCTGTGTGGCCGCAGCACCCGGCTTTGCCCCACACCCCCAGCATCGTGGGAGCCCCTGGGGCATCATGGCCCCAAGCTGCCCCATCTGCCCTGGGCTTGCCGTGCTGCAAGCTGGGGGAGAATGCCCTGCGGTGTGGGGCTCTGCACCATTCCCAGGGGGCCATGCAGCATCTGCACCAGGGTGGGGACGCTCTGCAGCACAGTGGCCGCCGGAGGGCTGGGCTGCTGCAGGGAGAGTGGCATGGGCCCCCCACTCCCCAGGATGGGTCAGCAAGGCCTCACCCAGACCCCGGGGGGACTCGCCGGGAGAAGCTGGGCAATCAGTGCTGCCCACTGCCCCGGGGGCGATACCCAAATAAACCTACACCTCTCGACCCAGCTCCATGCAATGGGGAGTGATGGCTCCAGTGGGGAGGGGGGAGAAACCCCAGTGCAGGGCACCCTGTGCTTCCTCAGGGCACATGCTGATGAACCAGCCCAATTTTGGAGGAAGGACAGAAAGATCTGGGTCCTGGCTGGGGAAATGGGCTCCCAGGAGATGATTTGCCCAACTGCGGGGGAAGCTTGGAGGTGCGTGCTCCAGAAACAAGGCCTGGGACCCCTTCCTTCCCCCAGCACTGCTGCTGGGACTGCATCTGCCCTGGCTGGGTGCACCGATGAGCTGCTCGGTGGGTGCTTGGTGACCAGCACACACAGAGCCGGGGCTCAGAAACAACAGTGGTGGGATGCCGTGGGATGCCATGGGATGCTTGCACCCAAAAGCCACCACCCAAAAGCCAGCGGCCAGGACTTGCCTGCGCAGCATCCCTGCCACCACCCATCCCCACTCACGCTTCTCCCTGCAGTGGCAGGCAGGGAGCTTGGCAAGCCACCTCCCTTGGGGGGGCCCCGCTTGTGGGCCAGGGCCACAGAGACAGCTTTGGGGCTTGTTTCGGCAGAGGCCAGCCCTTGCTGAGCCAAGCAGCATCCCATGCTGGGAATCAGGGACAGAAAACTCTCAGCAGCCTCGCAGAGACGCACAGCCGGGGAGGTGGAAGGGCATGGGGGGGAGCCCCTCGAGATGGGGACACGGGGAACCCACAGCTCTGCGGAGCCACCCTGGGTTTGGAGGGTGCTCGCCTCCTGCTCCCGGGCTGTTTTCCGGAGTGATGCCGCACCGGGAGCCGCCTCCTCGTCGCAGGGGCAGTGTCCCCCTCCCCATCACCACCCCTACCACCCCCCACCCGGGGCCCCGCGTGGGGG